AATGGGCCGAGGTTCGATTTAGGTGACAGCAACCAGCACTGTCCCAACAAGCGCAGGGCCTTTACCAAGTTTAAAAGCCCATGCCAACAATACAGGCCTTAACTAATTTTTCCATAAACCTCATCACGATTCACGAGCCTCTAGTCGGCGGGCTGGCCGGGCTCGCCGATGATTTGATTGGAAGCCGCGATCGATCGGGTCTCGACATGCCGTTGTTTCTCGCATCGGACTAAAGTCCAACTAGGGAGGCGAACATGGACGTGCTTCGCAAAATGTACACCCTCTAATTTTCATGTGTATCAGTGCGCGAATCTATAAATTTTTCGCTAGGTTTGTATCGGGTTCCTGAGGCCGATTCTGAGCCCGCAACTTTTGCTAAGGCCTCGCCGCGATAGTCCATTGATCAGGCATGATTTTCGTGTGCGAAAAGCCTTGAATTTTCCGGTGGTTATCAATCATTTGTGGAATTTCCCACTTAAACAAAGCATATATCCTCATCTCTCCATTTCCTAACTTTCAACATCCGAAGCAGCAGGTTAGTGAACTGCCCTTTACCAAACTCGTTGTACATTAGGTCAAACTGATTATGAAATGAGAGCATTTGCGCTCTAACAATATGTTGGTTTGGTTATATTTGGGTATGGAATGGCCCAAAAAGAAGGAATTGGTTACCTAGATTACGACTAAATGAAGAAACATATATGAATAGAGCCGACTTTGTTAGGTAATACACTCTGAATTTCACTCATCATACCAAGTCTATCCACGTTTTGGAAGTTCCAAGAGACACTACTTCCTCTTTTGTTGACCCTAGAAGGAGAAGCTGCATCTGAATTGAACCCCGAAAGATCTCAAGTTGCTTTGAGACATTAAACATGAAATCCCAGACATCACCACGAAAAAGTAAGCTCATAGAGCTGCAAAACAAAGTAAACCAATATCCAGAAATCAAGGTATATATCATCAGAGCATGGTCAGCAGAGGCAAGTACACACTCGTTCTTCAAGAACATATCTATGACAACATCCAAACAAAAGGATCAGCGGCCGATCATTAAATCACACATCATCATAAGTGATAAGCACACACTGAGACCTCCATCTGTAGCTACGGCTTAGTCTTTCGACGGTGTGAACCTAGGTTCGATATCCCCAACACCTTTACTTTACGGAGACAACAAAAACATGCTAAATTAGCTCAAATCTAACACCTGTGAGAGCGAAACCTTTAGAGCTTCTAACAAAAACTTATATCTGACACCAAAGTTGCTGCAAACACCATTAAAACCGGAAGCTGAGTACTTATTCATTAAAATTCCTAAATCTAAAACTGGATCACGAGAGAAAAGCTCCCAAATCTAAGAACGGGAGAGCAGAACTCTCAGATCTAAATATAGATAGGAAGAGTAGAGCAAGAAACAGGAGAAAATAGAAAGAAGAGCAACCGAAGAACTTGTATACATGGATTAGGCGCATAATACAAACTCGGGCTTACTATAGTCCTGAGTGCATATAATCATGCGTATGGTCATTCGCTTGGATTTCATTCACAACTTACCCGATTGGTGAAATTCGCGAAATATTACAAATGGGTTTCGGACGTAAACTCTATAAGGTAGAGTTTCGCGAGGTAAAAATAAGATCTCTAACATAACATATTCTTCATATGATAAAAATTTTGGACAGACCAAGAAAAACGTGCCAAGAAATTGCACCGTCGATCGACACGGCTCACTAATCATCCACATGCTACATGCAGAAGGTGAGAATAACGACAGGTCAAAAAGCAAGTCTTTAAGGTTCGTCCTTTTGTTCGATTTCAATGGTGAAAGGAACAAGTCCATGTGACAAATGAAAGCTGCATTTGTCATGGGTCACAAGTGCTTTGGCTTTTTTCACGAGAAGGTCCGTCGGAGATGATGATTCTTGGCTGTTATTGCGATTGACACGGACCGGTTTAATAAAGGATTTTGTTAAGAATTGCTTTCAAGATGCTTACTTGATAATCAAATAGATAAATTAATCTCATCTCGATGCACAAAATTTCACCGTGACATATGACGAGTGTTTTGAAAACTAAACGTTGTCCCGTTAAACATATATGCCCGCTTAAGGGGTGCCCGAAAGACCCTCGTTAACCCAATCCTTTCGTAAATTCGTGTAGGAGCTCATACTTGAGATACGCTCGCGTTAACTAGATTGTCGTCTATCAAATCACATTGCCGAGTCGACTAACCATAAGTCTATAATTATAGATCCCTAAAGAGCTTAACTTTCCCAAATTGAAAAGTGGAATTTTCAGTTTCTATGTCAAGCTCTCACATGATCCTCTATCTTGCTCTGCTTTCGGAGTTTATCAACCTTACATTTGATGCTCTACTATTAATCTCGCGATGTCGTCGCACGGTGAAAATTCAAGTATATGAAAAAGCAATTATTCAGCTCCGTCCACATATTCAAAACGCAAGACATCGATGGAAAAATCATTCGAGAACCGTCCAGGACCCTAAATTCGCCGCACCTCAATGACCATTTTCGAGATCAATTGGCTTATTCTACATGTGATTTCTGTCTCGTTCTTAGATTTTGCCTCCTAGATACGGCTTCTAGGCTCTAGCAACCGAAGTTTGATGCCCACTATATTGAATGAGACATGGGGCCTTTTGACTTCTTGGGGCAAGGGCATTGTATGATGAGGGCTGATAAATTATTGATCTAGGAAGAAGATCTCTCGGCTCGTGAGAGTACGGAAAGGAAAGGGGAAGTGATGATGATTAACACTACTGTGAATGTTTCGAGCGAGCTATACGGATGCGTTCCTTATTTTAACGTGCCGGTATCCGTATTTTCCGCACCCTTAATTCCCCCCAATTCTTTTTCTTCTATAAAAAGAGAAAATATCCTCCGGAAATTTTACATCTTGGTGATTCTGAAATCCAGGCAAAGTCCGACAAGGCATCGTATGATGAGGGCTGATAAATTATTGATCTAGGAAGATGATCTCTCGGCTCGTGAGAGGATGGAAAGGAAAGAGGAAGTGATGATGATTAAGACAACTGTGAATGCGATCGATCGAGGTTGGGTTGGTCCCTGCCCGATGATGGTTTTATCTTTTTGCTTTGGTTTTGGCCATGGCCATTTGCTCCGCAATTTAGGTGGTGATGGTAGGTTTTGAGGTTGATGTGCCAACTTTCGGAACCTTGTGTGGAAATATGAGTAAAAGGTATCTCGCAACTAAATCTTTTGCAAATTGGTTCTTTTTAATGCTGGAATGATTACATTTCAAAAGGCTTTTTCATGGCCAGGCATGAACAACGAAGGGCATTTTTATTTCGCGAAAAATAAATGATCTGAAAAATATTTTTTTTTTAAATAATCATTTGCATCACTCAAAATAATTAGCCGATGAAAACTATTTTTCTGTTATCGGTAGCAATCTGTGTCTAAACATTTTTATGGACAATGAGAATATAATACAAGAAATCATTTTTAAAAAGATATTTTTCAAATCAATTAATTTCCGTGAAACAAATGGAGCCAAAGCCGAAGTCGAAATTGAAACTCCGATTCCATTTTGGGCTTCTTTCGAGATATTAATGTTTCGAACAATCGTATTAAATGCTCATTCCCTCGAGTAGATAAAAAGGCACACGCATCAAAGGCTATTTTTTTGTCATTAGCACTTTGGAAATCATACTGAATTTATAACTTTATCGATCACTTCCATTTTGTTAATCCCTGTTGAAACGGGAGTACTCGTAGGGGCTTTAGTGCTTGTCTTGCATTCTTCCTTTCTTCCTCAATTTTTTTTTTTCGCTTTTTAGCGTCCTTTAGAAGGTATTAATGTCGACCCACCAACTTAGTCCCCACATTTAACGTAGGTGTACATCTATGTACGAAGCTCGGCGATCTGAATCTGATTGAAAGTTCCATGCATTCCATTCCTCAGAGCATGTGCACTCAATCTGATGCACCTAACCTAATGGGGACCGGCGGACCCGTTATGCGACTAGACGAATCGGCGGGTTTGAAGTCAACGATGTCGGATTGAGCTCAAATTTGGTCGGCTGAAGCGAAACGGCGTGCTGATCAATACTCACCGCCTTTGGCCGTGACTAACGATGGATTTTCGCGATTCGAGATTGTTTAGATGGGTTTTTCTATTTTTTTAGTATTTTTTTATGGGTTAATTTAGTAAAGGGTAGTTTCGTAATTTTACGTTTTGATGTTTCCTAATCCTAGTAGGGCTTCGTTTGGGGTTATATAAACTTGTTTTAGGGTTTCTTTTCAGCAAACTTGGATATTTTTTGATTTGATAATCATATTTGGAGGACGAATTGTTCTTCTGACGAATTTTCTTGTTCAGTCAATTTTTCTATCGCGCTTCGGCATCACAATCGCTCATACCTTATCGACCCCTATGTAAGGCGACGATGCAAGATACCCGGAAAGAGACACACCCGTCAAGGTGGACTGTGCTGAAAACGCAATTATGAACTCGTGCTAGCATTTCGACAAAAACATAAAAAGAAACTCGTGCTAGCATTGACGGGGAGCTATTTGGCATCTAGCCTGTGGGTAGAGCATTAGGTACCGCAGGCTAAAAGAGATCTGGAATCAAGAGATCGATCTCATCAGACCCACCAACAATTCAAATCGCCCTTACATTTTCTCGGTAGCTAAAGGAGACCCCAAAACCCCTAGACTCGTAGAGGAGCCATCACGGTCCATGCTGATTGGGACTTGGCGGCCTCCTAGATACAGACAAGCTGTTCAATTACACGAAGCTTCCTCCTTGGGACCCCACTTGGGGAAAAAGAAATATGCTGGTGGTCCTGGGCCTTCTCGTGCTCATTTTCTATTGCTTTAGGTAGGGTAGTTCGGTGACAAGACGACTAAAAGTGAAGCACAAGTTGGCCACCGATGATGCGCTCCAGAAGGGACTATTATGTTTGTCTATAGCGAATCCATCTCTGAATATGTAGACAAAAGAGTCCTCTCTAGGGCAAGCCGTGCCATCTACTAGTGCCATTTAGATTCATTTCAACGCTATACAGGGATACAAAATGGGTGAGGGATTGGAAGCGCCTGCTTCAACCAAGCTCAGAATACAATAAGACAGAGCAGGAAGCAACAGAAGAGGAAGAAAGTTACTCTGCTCAGCGACTTATTCGCCTGCATCTCCTGCCTCCTCAACCTCGGGCTGCTTCCTCCGATGTACCTATACGAATTCGGGTAACCATATAGGCTGTCCGAATTGCCAAAGATTCTTGCGTAAAACATTTCCCCGAACATTCCCACCATCGAGTGGTGGAGGCCCACGGATCCCATGCTGAGGAATGGCGATGGCGAATCTTCTTCAAACGAATTGGCGCTGTAGTACGGGTTTTGGTAAGGATTACGGTAGGGGAGTTGCTGACCGGTGGTGGGTGTCGTAGAGGCGAGAGCTTGGATGCCACAAGCTGCTGGTCTCGGAGGTACAATTGTTCCTATTTGGAGTGCCTTGTCTTGTAGATCGGACTCTTTAGAGCTTTGGCCGCGGCCGTAGAGAGGGACCATGGCTGTGTGCGATATTTCACCCTTGCAGACGGGACATTGCGGGTGCTCATCAGAAGCAAGCGAGGCGCTTTGTACATGGAGCCATTTGTAGATGCAGGGCCAACAGTAGAGGTGACCACAGAGAGTAACCACGGGCTCGACCGCAAAGTCTAAACAGATGTTGCAGTCGAAACAGCCATTGCTACTTCCAGAATCTATTGCCGGTCCAGAGATGGGCCTCCACTCCCGGGCAAAGTATTGCTCGAATGCCATGGATGTATCTTGAGAATTGCAATAATAACTGTGACAAGAAAAAAGAAGAGATTCTAATGAATTCTCGAGTTCATTGAGGTCCAAGAAACGCTGCCTGCATATATAGATAACTGAGAAAAGCTTATGAAACTCCTTGTGCGAGAAATAACCATACCAAACGCACCAAACAAGGACCCACCAAATGGCTAAGATCATAAGAAGGAACCAAACAATTATGGACCTTACAAACCCAAATGCAATCAAACAAACAAGGTACTAAATAATACAATGAACAACAGTCGTACCATAGGATATGATAGATGTGGCCCCAGCATTAGACACTTTCGTCCTCTTCTATAGCTTTTGAGAGTATGCTATGTTTCACTATTCTCCCATCTTTTAAAAAAAGTAGTGCGTTTTTTATGTGCTTTACGTAACAGAAAAGATTCTTTTTGACTTTCGGATGATCTTGTTTCCAGCCTGCTCTTCCAACAGCACTGAAGAGTCCAAAATAATCTTTTCCTGACTGAATTTACAAGACAGATCACATTGCAATTGCACTATGTTGTAGATATTTTCCAACAACAATCATGTATAAAGCAAAAGCAAGCACCAGCTAGACTAAATTATCTCAAAGATCCACTGGAAAAGTAAGGATCTTGGTACACTATTGCTAATGGTAAGAAGATTATAATCTACTGTCGCATGAAAAAAGAGAAAACAATAATCAAAGACCTCAAAGTAAGTATCCTTGAGGTTTTTTTCTGTCTCTTTTATCCAAATGGGACTTGCTCTCCGCTTTCAAATCATCCAAATGGCAATCAAATCGATTATGCAAGAGAGGGGAGGTGGTGAAAACAAACAACGAATTCATCTGCAAAAAGCCCACTCCAAATTCTAGGTTGAAAGAGCTAATGAACTAACAAGTTCATCTCACTATCCCCTTTGTAAAGAAAATGGAAAAGAAAAAGAAGAACGAATCTCGCAATTGCATCCGCTCGATAGTAACGATATGAGCGGCAAATCTGAAGCATAAAACAAGCCCTCTCCTTCGACAAGAAGAGGAGCATAAATCCAAAGCCCAAATTGGTTCCTAATCTTTTTGGGCAATAGAACTTTGACCTGTGTATAAGAGAAATTGTTCAGCTAAAATTACCAGATGCTGATCAATCATATATGTCTCCCGCCAAAACAAACAGATCAGTCCATCATCATTCTACCTGATCCGTCTGAACTATAGACACGGAAGAAAGATGCAAAACAAAGGCATTAAAATTGAAGCCACTCCAACGTTCAATGGCCTCTTTAAGAAAATTCTAAAAAAGTTCTCTTTTCCTCAGCCTCCATCTCGACAGTCACCTATGCATTGCCTGATTACACAAACATGGTAGCCCTGAATTAGATTTTATTTGCATGGAGAGCCGGCGGCCCCGGCTCTATACCGAAGAATCGCCATGATCAAGACACCGAACAACGCCAGAAAACCCCCCAATCCCACTCGAAAACTCGAGAGAAGCACAAAGAGCATGCCTCTTTGACCTCTAAAGTCTCCGCGCCATTAGCTTATTCCAATGCAGTGCAGATCGAAGAACAACCTCACCAACTATATCCAAAGCAAAGAACCCAAAACGGAGAGCGCAATTACTTAACGAACCCACCAAGCAAGCAAGCAAGCGCGCAATCAGCAGCCCCCGAATCGATTCAAGCGCAGCAACCACAACACAATCATCTCCCCGAATCTTCCTAACCACAACACAACACCCACGACACCCAATTCGAAGCCAACGAAAAACCAAACCAAACCAAACCAACCCCCGAATCCACCGGCGAGATCACCGGGCGGGGCGGGCGCGACTTTCTCAAGAACACCAAGTCCCCTCGCATCTCCCCCTTCAATCGAAAGACGAGACAAAGTCAACAAGCGCGAGATCCGAGGCCCCGAATCCTCGAAACCACCATTGACGGACGACCGGCCTACTAAGCATTCGGGACGCGGCGGAGGCCGGAACACACGGCCGCCGGAGGCGGCGGCGGAGGAGGAGGAGGGAGGAGGGAGAGAGCCTACCGGAGAAGCGGCGGCGGCGGCGGCGGCGGTGGGCGCGGCGGAATGCGGAATCGCTCCGGGGAATCTCCTCCCTTTGACTCCGAGGTCCTGCGCGGAAAGCTTCAATGGCGATCGTGCACGGAAGAGAGAGAGAGAGAGAAGGGGGAATGGCGCAGCTTGATTGACGCTGAGGAATTTTTATAGAAGGATTCATGGTTTTTTATTTTTTTTTTAGTTTCTTTTTTTCTAATGGTAGTAGTATTCACGTGTTTCGTTTTTTTTTTTTTTTTTTTTTGGGGTCGGAGTTGTATTCACGTTATGGTTGTAGGGCTCGTCACACGCGAGGGCAAGCCTTACGTGCGGCGCATGCATGCGGGCGCACTCCATCTCAACCATCAGATCGCGTGGTCTCGGGCGGGGACCCTCGACGTCCGGCAGCCGGGATGAAGCAGGGTTCGCATTGGTCGGGGCGTGCGAAAGCTTCTCGTCGTGGGCTTGCTTGCTGACATGGCGCTGTGTCGGGTGACACCTGCGCCGCGGATAGCGTATTGTGTACGTATTGCTGTTAAAATATTATCCCACATCGATTGACAACGGATCCTAAATGCTCTTTACATTCGTGTGGTCTCTCTCCACTTAATAACTTAAACTTTTGAATTTGGCTTTCTAATATGTTATCAAAGCCAATGCTATCCTTTTCGCGAATGTGCGTGGTAAAATATCCACGTTAATGTGCGTAGTCAAAATTTCACATGCTGCTCATAATCTGACTTAGGAATAGTGACTTCCTTCTTGCTAGAAGGAGAAGAGAAGTCGTTTTCTCCTTATTTGAATTTGTTGTTTTCTATCCATGGATAACTTTTAGGTCGATTAGTTTCCCATCGTCCAAACACCCGAAAATAGTTTTTCTTCAAACAAACGGATCCTAAATTTATTATTGCGTGTTTAATATGACTCTCTTCACGTCATTTATTATCTCAATTTTGCATACCAATTTCAATGATCCTAAATTTATTATTGCGTGTTTAATATGACTCTCGTCCTCGAAAATCCATACACAACCCGTCACATCATTTATTATCTCGATTTTGCATACCCATTTCAATGATCCTAAATTTCCACAAGTTATGCCCTAGGCACAGCCACTTGAGCCGACCTTAGGCGGGCGCCCCTAAAAGAGTGCAATGGAGGTCGCCGACCTAGGCCATCGACCTTCCTGATCGCCCATCGACCCCGTCCAAGTTTATTATTGCGTGTTTAATATGACTCTCGTACTCAAATATGCATACACAGTCTGTCACATCATCTATGATCTCAATTTCGCGTACCCGTTGCAATGTACCCCGCATATTATGGGGGCGAGTTTAAGTCAAATGATCTCAATTTTCATTCTTATCGTTTGAAATTAGTGCTATCATTCAACGATGAATGGATGAGACTTTTCAAACATATTGACGAGGAGAGCATCTGGAATTTTTGAAATAAGAGAGCTTTTGGAGAGGAAGAGGTTTCGGAGTGTAGTAAGTGCCCTCTTGCGCACTCCATCACACCCTAGAGATATATGGTCTAGGACTTATAGACTGGCCGGTAACCTAACACATAATGGTTGCTTGGACCGACATTCGACTATTCGAGTATCAATTTGTTTCGCCCGCTCGTGATAGGCTGTAGTTGCAATTTCTTGCATGCTATGACATCGGAGTACTTACTTATAGTCAGTCCCCCGAATCCTAGATACACGAAAACAGGGAAAAGTACCAAAAAAAGACTCTTAAATCATTTGCATCGGTACCAATTTGATCTTAAATCTTTCAATTGGACCAATTTAGCCCTAAACATTTTTCGCATCAGTACCGATTCAGTCCATCCGATCAATTTAGGTCGGAAATTACTGACATAGATATCGGCCATATTACATGGCACAGTCGTCGCCGACGTGGACATTTTTTAATGACATTTTAATATTATTTTTTTTCTTTTCTTTTATTATTATTATTATTATTATTTTCTTTCTTCATTTTGCCCCGTGACAATGGGCGAGAGCCAACCAAAATGAAGGAAAGAAAAAAGAAAGAAAAACTATAAAAATAATATTAAAAATGTCAACGTCAGCTCCGATCTTGCCACGCAGAATGGTCGGTGTTCACGTCAGCGATTTCCAACCTAAATTAACGGGATCGATTGAATTGATACCGGTCCAATCGAAAGGTTTTATGGATGGATGGATACCGACGCGATATGTCTATAACTTCTTCTTCCGTTTTTTTAGTACTTTTCCCCGCGAAAACAACACCGAGAGGGGAGTGGTGACGTTTTTGACACCGATTTACCTGCGAGACGGTTTTCTCGCGGTGAGACCTTTCTTTGTTTCAACTTTTTCAACGGGCATAATGCCCCTTCTAGAAAGCAGCAAGTTACGCCGGAACCAAAGCGGAATTCGTCTAGGGACGTGCTCTTCTAGAAGGGAGCAACATAAATTATGGTCAAATCCCACCCCGATATGTTCAGATTGCTCTAAATTCCGAGGGTTACTTGTACGTCTGCAGAGGCCCGAAACTTAACCGGTTCATGAAGTATGAAGAGCGTTTTTATAAGTCTCGTATCACATTTACGCCGAACTAAACTTTCGATTCGTGAATCCCGATCCGTGCAAGTATATAATTTTTTATTTTTTCGAGCAGGAGTAGACCCTTGCGATTTTCATAGAATGTATTAACCGTGCCGCATTTACTCTCCAAAGAATCCCGGAAATACCGCATCTCGTCACATTTACGCGAACTAGACCCACTTTTTTTAGACAAAAAAAATCCTTAATAAGATAAAAAAAAAAAAAAGGGGGGCATATCGATATGGAGCCGACACGGCACGGGCTTCCCGATTCGGCAGTCTCTGTGGCTAATGCGGTGCGATGTAAATGCGGTTCGGGTGTATCGGCCTGGAATTTCCGGCGACACGAAAGGGTGATGTACAGGTTGGACGGGCGGGTCAAACGCGCATGGGGCGACACCTTGTTCCCCGGGACGTTCGCACATGCATCTGCATCGTCACATCTAATGCATTATTCTCGTCGCGCGTGCCGTGGGGGGTTGGTTTCTAGAAGGAGAAGGGGCGGGGTCCGACACGTGACGATACGCCATTGGGGCTATCGATCCTCGAGGAAAACGACCTTGTTTGTTAGTGGTGGTGCTCGCTGTAGGAAAGCTCAAGGGTCGTCCCTGTTGGCTTTCGTTTCCCTTCGGAAATTATTGACCATTCCTAATCGAAATTGAGAAAGGAGTTTAAGAAATTTCCATCTGGGCATTTGTAATGCGACTTGAATCAGCATGATAATAATAATAATTAAGAACGGATTGATAACACTTTCTGGGGATTTAAGTGAGACCAGCCACGCCAAAGCCCCCTTCATCACCACCGACTGCATGGTACCTTTTGCTTCGCTCGTCCGTGCGTGGGTTGCGTGCGTGCGTATGTGTTGTGTTTGCGTGCTGCGTCGTGATGATCGCTGTGAACTTGTTGAATCGACCAGCTCGTAGTCAAAGTAGTTTTGGGATCGGTCGGTTTCGAACGATTTCTACCGATTTTTATAATCTAGAAAAAAAAATCTAGGGGCGCCCGTGAATTTTGATCAATTGGATCGCAAATTGACCGTCGCGATGAATGCGACAGACATCCGTTTGTCGCGTGGCTCTCGGCTCGATCAAATCGCAAGGGCTACCCTCGCCATATCTGACAAGGCCGCCGTGTCCTGGGCGAGGGCCAGCCTTACCAGATTTGGCGAGGGCGACGCCGTGGCCTGGGAGAGGGCCGGCCTCGAGGGGAGCCGTCGCCGGGGCTCCCGGGCCTCGCTGGGGCGGCGACGGTGACCCTCTCCCAGGCTAGGCCAGCCCGCCCGGCAATTGCCTGTGACTGGTGGCCGGTCACCGACAAAAGGAGGAAAAAAGAAAAAAAGAAAAGAAAATTTATAAAAAATAATTAAAAATCTAAAAAAAATTAAAATATTATTAAAAATTATCCACGTTAGTATTGGCAATGCCACGTAGGTCAGCCGATATCCACGACAGGAATATCCGACCAAAATTAATCAGAAGTACTAAATTGACACTATATCAAAAGATTTAGAACTAAATTGGCATCAATACAATAAGTTTAGGACTAAATTGGCACCAATACAATAGACTTATGATTTTTCTGACACTTTTCCCAAGAGTACAAGTAAAATAACAAATTTGTTACCCATTTTATATACACCGCCGAACATATATTAAAATCGACATTTAACGTACAGAACACTCTTAAAATCTCGTTCTAAAGGAGTATTTTTTACTCGATAATTTAACGACCATCTACCTTGTTATTGCACACACTTTCCCCATTAGCAACGTACATTAAAAGTACTTCCATCACAAAGTTGTAAAAATCAACACCACGATTCCGGAGGAGATTGCCATTTGAGAAAACACATCACCTCATAAAAAATAAAGTTTCTTTTTTCAACAAGCATTTCCCTTTGTGCATTCATGCATCAAAATTACAATTCATAGAGCGATTATTACCCAAACACCTCAAATATTTCATTTGATATAGTAACAATATATATATATATATATATATATATATATATATATATTTTGAGTCTTGTGATCGAATTTTTAATATTTTAAATTTGGTAACATTTTTGCTAGCTATTTGGCGAGAAAGTCGTTCATTTCGTGCGAGGTCTAGCCGAGAATTTCGGCTCAATTTTCTTTGGTGCAAGAATTTTGGTTGCTTAATCTAGAATTTCGACCATGTTGACCAAGTCACGGGATAGAAAAGGTGCTTCTTCGAAGACCTGAATTGGCACGAATTCAAAACTTTTGACACTTCAATTTTGGAAACCTTCCATGGGTTAGTAGCATCTAATGTGACGGGTCATCATTCATTCCAAGTAGCATCTAGACTTTTCGACCAAAAATATATAAAAAAAAAATCTTGTTAACAAATGATCTCTAACAATAGTTAAACATCTTTTATGATGAAATATTCGATCCCACGGGATCTCCTTGGATTTTCGGTATTAGGTTAATAAGTTTATCTCTCCAAAGAGAAGAAGCTTTCCCTCCTACGAGGGTCTCTGCGCCCTGTTCATTTGATATACAATGACGGCGAACATCTTTTATGATGAAATATTCAACTTTTCATAATATTATCCGTGCATATCACGAGGGTGGCCAGTGAATTGAAAGCTTGTGGTACTTTCTTTTTTAATAATTTATCGAGTTTGTTGAAGATACATTTTTAAAAAATATAAAATATACATATCCTCTAGAATGTTGATTAGTGATGATGATTTTCTTCTTTGGTAGCATTGCGGATTTACCAAAACCGACCCACTTAGGTGACCAACTCCCAACCATTTTCATGTCCAAATCAAAGCATAAGCTTCCATTGAGCTTTCCATAATTTTATTGCTAGGGGAATTTTTTTGTTAGACTAGCTTTATATGCAGTTCGCGAGGCGAATTATTAGGTAAAGGGTGCCGATCGCCTTTTCCGACCATCGGGCATTCACCGTGATTATCGTAACTCATGCGATCACGTTCTTTGAAATCTCTCGTTAAATTTCTCACCTCCGTTCCCCCCTTAGAGATTTTTCACGAGATCGCGTTACCTTGCCCCCTCTAAAGCCGCCCAAAAAAGTCCGCGATCGACGTCGACCGGACAAACTCCGAGCGCCGGAAGTTTCAGTCAACTTTGTTCTTGTCGTGAATTTTCCAAACCTTAGAAGGAAAATCGACAATCGTGAATTACACTCTTGACTTACAAAGTCACCTCAAGTAAAGACCGGGGCACGAGGAGGGACTATCGTGACTCGTGCGACTCGAATGCGTACGTACGCCTCCATGCCTCGATCTCACATCTTCTTTGGACCGACCGACCATGAGCTTTCATAGAAGCGATGCATCTCTGCTGCAACTGCAACTTCCATGAGCTTTCCATGGAGCCTGACCTCTTATCTTTGGTCATCGATCCTGCGTCTGAAATTCCATTTTCATGCACGTGGGTGTCTCTTTGAATGGTGTGCTCCTAGTACTTAATCGTACAATTAATGAGAACTTTAATCTATAGATGAACGTGAAATCGTTCGAGCTTTTGGCTAGATACATCGCTTTGCTCTTGCTAACCATTACGGTGTCGGTGTCGAAATCTTATTGGCATCTGCTTTTTCTAATTTTGTTTTGTAGTAAGGTTGCGTGCATGAATAAAACTCTCGGACCCGCGGAAATGCCCCCGTTAATTTCATGGATTAGGTGAGACACGAATCATAAGCAGGATGATTGACTTTTTTTTTTTTTTGTCTGTCCTACTCAAACTCACTCTCAGAATTTTTACCCTACCTCTTGCAGGGCGTGGGAGTCAAAACCCACATCTAAAACTACACGTCTCCATCTTTAGTTCCTCCTGAGAAGGTGGGGATTTGAACTCCCCACCTTCCCCTTCCCAAGTAGGACCGGAGAATCGAACCTGTGATGATCGGGCCGATGATCCGTTTTGTGAACGGGCCGATTAATTGGCCCATTCTATGGCGGGTACCGTCTAGTTGACCCATATTACTCTAAGCATGGACTTTTTATCGACTTGAGTCCGGAGCCGGTCTTCGTACATGACATTAGGCTTCCGTCATAGATAGGCCGTCTACAAAAATTTGTGAAAGCAAATCGATCGGAAATTATTTTCACGTGGCTTGACCCTAGAGAGATTATGCTAGATCAACAATGATCTAGAAATTTCATGGTTATCGACCGAGTAATGTTTCCAAAAATGTACAATCTTTTTTTTTTTTTGTGGCTAAAACCGAAAATGTACTATCTTGACAAAGAGCTTGGGATTACTTTCAGTTAAAAGGAACCATCATGACTAGGGAAAGATAAAATGCCGGTATCTTTCGAAACTCTTCGCATAGCTTGATTCGATGTAAGCGAGGAAAACCATGATATTTATTCTGTTGAATGAGGTCGACCGTGGCGACATGTTCTCGACTTTACCTGATTCAACGATGATATGCAGTGTGAAAACAGCTTGAAGAGTGAGACTGCCTAGTTCCAAGAACTTTACGAGAAGTTTTGCAAGGATAAAGCTTCTCGTCTGCAGGCTAACTGTATTTGGTTTTGAAACACTCTGAGTCTCCAGAAAATAAATGCAAATTGCTGGGGAAAATTTTTCTAAAAGAGCCCTAAACATATTGTAGGGCGGTCGATTCAGTTCTGAATCTTTCAATTGTGTCAATTTAGTCCTAAATCTTTTGGAGTCACAGAAAAAAGTTTATGGTAAATATGTCGCGGTGGGTATAATTTAGGTTTTGGTGGCTTTTGCCATAATCTATACTTCGTTGAGCCAGTTAGTTTCTGTAGAAAATTCAATTTGCGCCTCCAAATATGAGGATTCTAAGATGTACGTAGCCCTGCTAGGTATACTTAAAAATTTTCCTGCTTGGCAGTATGCATTTTCTGTACGGTCACCTAACTACAGAATTCTTAGTCGCATCCTCCTCCCATATATTTTTAGGGCAATCAGCAGAAATCTGCCAATGCGAAGGGAACACACACTGACTCCTAAGAGGCCTCAATTTAGAGCCTTGCGATTACACTTGGCGCGCGACGAAAGGCCTCCGTGGTAGATGCTAGTGTGGCAGTTCAACAAGACCCAGCAGTAAAAAATTGCAGCTGGAGAGAACGAGGCATCAGGCAGTTGACCTAGTACTGCTGCACGTATGCACTTCAGGATGTATAAACAACTCCCGAATCCAGATATCACTCTCCTAGCTCGATATCAAACCTGGTTGGTTTCCTAACACGCTTCGCCTTCTCTCACTCGAATCTGAAGTGATCCGGTATTCGGGCAATTAAGTATAAGCCTCGCCATCGCACTGTCACATTCATCTCTGATCACCGCCACTGAAAAGCCGAGAAGACTCCATGACCAAGGCCAAGATTTCGCTGGTGCTCAGGCTGCTGGCCCTGGGCTCGACGGCCGCGGCCATCGCCATCATGGTCACCAGCCATGAGACCGCCAAGGTTCTCAACCTGAGCTTTGAAGCCAAATACCACAATACACCAGCATTCGTGTAAGCTCTTCAACCCTCACGTGTACATGAAGCTTTCATTGCCTCTCTTTTCTTGTGGGGTTCTCGTCATTCGGATTTCGGTTTCGGCGGTGCAGGTACTTTGTGGTTGCGGAGGCCATTGCTGGCGGGTACAGCTTGGTCTCTCTGTTACTATCTTGTAAGACTTTGGTCGGGCGATTTGTGATGATGACGGATGTGGTGAGTGAGTCTCGGAACTCTCTTCAGCTCTTGGAGTGTGTTCTTTCAATGAATTCTCTCGATCAAAAGCAACGTATGGCCCATGGAGTTGCTGGCTTAGATTTGAAGCAGGAGTCTTGATCTTTTAGGCAGACTATAGTGTTTCTAACTTATTGGCATTCTGCATTTTCTTGTCTAACACGGGGCTCGCATGAAGTTGGCCGATGCAAAATAGTTCAAGGTCATGTAATTTCGATGTTGTTACTAGGAATGATTTCGATATATTTGATTGATAATGGTTTCGGAAAATATGCGTGTCCACCTAGAATCTGAGCTAAGGAATATGTACAATACCTATTTCTTAGACTTATTTCGCGACTGACGTGATAGACAGAACCAATCATAATTTAGTGACGGCGTGACATCTTCATCTTCATAAACAGTGTCTATTGTGAGCGACTAGTGCCTATCATTTTGCAGATTGGCCTCTCGGAATCAATCTAGACTAGTCATTTTCCAGCATTTCACTTTACTTTGCACTGTAATAAGCTGATTCCACCACTTTGTGAACGGATAAATGGTCGCACGAGTTCAGCTCATGTGAACCCCAATCCATCGAAAACCAGATCCGAGTTTATATCCGACTTGCAGTTTTCATTTACGGCGACGATCACATCAACTTCCGCCGCCGTCGAGTCTACGCTTTGATCGATCGCAAACAACCGTTTCACGCATTTCACTCTCGTTCTAAATATATTTCATGACAGAGTCTTTTCTGCTACATATGATTTCTCTGTGTCTCTAGGTCATTGCAATGCTCCTGAGCTCCAGCATTTCAGCTGCAGTGGCAATAGGCCAGGTGGGCAAGAACGGGAACGGCCATGCCGGTTGGTTACCAATTTGTGGGCAAGTCCCCAAGTTCTGCGACCAGGTCACCGGCGCTCTCATCGCCGGCTTCGTCGCTGCGGCGATTTACCTGGTCCTCCTCTTATGCTCCCTCCACTCTCTCTTCGCCCTCAAACCCTAGGCTCTTGTAATATCGGCTACTAGCAAGTGAATTTTTGAGTTACATATACGCATACTTCTCTTTCAATGCTACGTTGTGGGGCATGTAACATACACAAGTGAGGATCAGTTATATTGTATGCACTAATGGAGTAATCTCTTACTACAATTTTACTACCCATGTCGACGGAGCTGATGGATGTATTATTTTGGAAATTCATAGGAGATATAGTGAAGTTGACTCCGGTTATTACATTTTCCATGATGGCTCACGATGTTTTCTAAGATATGTGTTAAACGAAATATGTTCGATGACGTATAGGGTAAGAAAAGAGGGGAAAATCAGCAACCGGTGTGAGCTCGGTTTAACTCAAGACATGTTTAGTTAGGTATGCAAAGAGTAGATCAAATCGATTAAAAGTCATTTGAATGCCTCATGCTTGTTGTACTAGGAACAATCATATTCCTTGTAGCTGCAAATTCCTTATTTTCGTGGGATGTAAAACTTCTTATTGGACTTTGAAATGGGCTCAATCAAGCAATCGAATCATACTAATGATTTAGTGAAATTGGTGGGAATATTCTAGGGCTTATGGGTCGGGCCACTCCGACCATTGTCCAAGCCATCATTGGTCATGTCGAAACCCTATTTGTGGACAAACGACCATTCATAGTTACATTGACTTCGAACCGGCTAGTACAGAAAATAAGAATGTGAAAAAGTTTAAGCCCACAAGCATAACGATCAATTTAGGAAAAATTCCAAATAAGAGCATGAAGTGCCATCATTTTCTCAAATAATGGTTTAAAGTGAACATTATTTCAAGGGTTATGTTCACTAAAAGTCTTAAAACTTGTCACAAAAGTGCAATCGAATCCTAAAACTTGCAAAAAGTGCAATCAAGTCTTAAAACTTGTCAAAATTGCCCAATTGAGTCCTAAAGTTAACACCGTCAAACTTACTAACGGAAAATGCTCACGTGGCTTATTTTAATATATATTTTTCCTATGTGGCTTATTTTAATTTTCAAATTTTATTTAAATTAAATTTAAAAAATAAACTAAATAATAATAAATAAAAAAGAAAAAAGAAATAGAAGGAGAAGACCCACAACCGGCGACTGTGGCCAAGCCCTTGCCATCGCCGATGGCCGCCGCCGGGAAGGGCTGGCGGAGGTTGCTTGGGCCTTCCCGAAGCCCAGCGACCCTCGCTGGCCCGGGGGCGAGGCCCTAGTGATGGCATACAAGCCCCGATCTAGGGGAGGGCACAACCCTCACCCCAGATTTGAGCGAGGGTCGCCGGCCCTTCCCGGCGACTGTGGCGGTAGCCACTGGCAACGGCGAGGGCTTGGCCGCAACCGCCGGTTGTGGGTCTTCTCCTTCTTTTTTTTTAACTTTTAGCTTTTTTTATCTAATTTAATTTTTAATTTTTAATTTTTTTCTGATGTGGCGCTTGTTGGACACTACATCATTGCCATGTGTTTCAAAAAAAAAAATAATAAGACGTGTCAGCATTTTCCGTTAGCCTAATTTGACGGTGTTAATTTCAGGACTCGATCGAACCAACTTGACAAGTTTTAGGACTTGATTGTACTTTTTGCAAGTTTTTGGACTTAATTACACTTTTATGATAAGTTTTAGGATTTCTAGTGAACATATCCCTTATTTCAAATAAAAGTTTGAAATGTCATCATTTGCTCAAATAAGAGTTTGAAGTGGATTTTGTTTTGAATAAGGGTTTGAAGTGAATCTTGTTTTGAATAAGGGCATGAAGTGGCTATGTCTGTTTAAAATTAAAAGCCTAACTTTCCTTACGGCCAAGGGCATTTTCGCCATTTACCTTTTTTTGAACCTTTTTCTCTTTCTTTCTTTCTTTCCTTTTTTCTTTCTTTTTTCCTTTTTCTGGTTTTTCTTTTCTTCTTTGTCGTTGGCCGATCGGAGAGGGCTGGCCGATGGTTGCCCTCGCCTATTCCGAAGAAGGCCATCCTCGCCAGCCACTAGCGAAGGCGACCCTCAACTAGCCCTCCCCAAGCGTCACTGATCGCCGGCCACCGGCGAAGAAGAAAAGAAAAACCACAAAAAGGAAAAAAGAGAAGAAAGAAAATAAAAAATAATTTAAGATTTAAAACTATTTTTGGATGAAAATGCCCTTATTTGAAACTACCATGGCTGCTTTAGGCCCTTATTTGAGATTAACATAGCCACTTTAGGTCCTTATTTGAAATAAAGTTTACTTCATATCCTTATTTAAGAAAATAATGGCACTTCAGGCCCTTATTTGAAATTTTTCCATCATTTAATGTTCTTTTTATAACTAGGAAACTCGTCTTAAATAAGAAAACCTCGGGTTCGGGAAATACCTCGCTTATTGTACGGATCAAATAATAAGCGAGTTAAAAATTGGGTGGGTGCGTGTGCGGGTACCTAATTCACACACATGCTCCATCTCTACTCCTTAACCATTAAGTCAAACCGACATTATCTTCATTTGAAATTATATATCTGCATTCTCCATGCCTAAGAGAATGAACAAAGAATGGCAAAAAGCTATCAAAAACCTTAAATTATGTCCATCGTGATATATTTACCCTAAACTCTGAGACACCAAAAATAAAAAAGTTGTACCCGTGTAACACATGTACCCTCCGTCAAAGTTCTGTCAATAAGAACCATTAAATGCCTATATGGACGCTAGAAAGCATACGATGTTGACAAACCCACATGGCTTAAGTGGAATAAAAACGACGTTGTTTTGGCTAAAAATCATCTAACAGAACCTTGACGGAGGGTCAATCTGTCAAATAGGTAAGAGTTTGGGGTTTCTTTTATGTATATGTGTCGCAATAAGCATAATTTAAGGTTTTTTATGTCGCAAAATAAAGTTCATGATAAATGTGTCACATTCAACATAATTTGGAGTTTTTTGTGGCATTTTCCTAACGATGAAAACAACAAACCTCGACAACATAAGCACCATCAACTCAAACTAAATGGGTAGGAAAATCTTTAGAAAAAAGAAAATGCATTTACAAAAGCATGCATTTGTCTTGTTCATTTAACAAATTTTAGTGGACACGACCCATATCTAACTAGGAAAACCTGATAAACCGAAATTTCGAATAAATGGGATTCGACTTGATTCGATTTGATTCGATTCAATTCAATTCATTTCATCTCGGTAGGTCAGTTCTACACTTTCGAGGGCACCTTTTGCTTAACCTTAGATAAGGTGACACCCGGGCCAGTGTGTGCAAAAAGTTTGGCTTTATGGGCACTAGCATTCTAAACGAGACAAGTGTGTGATTAGCTGAAACTTAGCTTTTGCCTAGATCTCATCTTTTGAAAAACGTTAGCCCGATCTGACCTGGAGAGAATATATCCGTGCAAAGATCCTGTCCTCATCTGCAAATATTCCTCGAAACATTAAAAAAAGGAAGAGGCCCATAAAGCCGCCGAATCAAAGAAATGATGAGCGGCCCCCCACCGAGGCCCATTCGAACGGGCGCATCGCAGCCGTCCATTTTGCCTTCCCCCGGTTTTGCAGATAGGTCCGTTACCACATTTTGAAAAATATCACGTGGTGGGGACCACGTCATTATTAGAAAGATTAATTAATCCATCAGCCAAAATAATGTATATCTAATTAATTTTTTCGCGCAACGTACAATTAGAGCCACCTCAGCTGAAGAAAATGGAAGGGAGAAAAAATGGAACACTCGCGCGTGACACGTGGCGCTCCATCATTGGCCTAAATCATAATCATGTCAAGATTAGTACTTTTAATACACGCAATGTTGTGGGTGACGTACCAGTATACCTATTTGGGGGGAGAAAAAAAATAGTACCACCGGATTTTTCTAGGTGACCATCATTTTCACGTCTTGTGATTTGACATTTACTTAATAGGTATGCCTAAAGCCCTGTTAAATGTACAATAATTGCATGTGAAATTATGTACTGTCTTTCATCAATTTAATCGAAAATAACATTTTCTTTTCTTTTCTTTTCGACGGTAGCGTTCCTCAACATTTTTTTTGTTTCGAAAAGAAGTCAAGACGAAAGGCCCGTCGACTTCCCAAACTGCGCGAAGTAAATCTTCCGTTTTCCTCTCCTCGCTTGAGGTATTGCTTTGAATTAATATCGCCTTTGCGCATTCTCTCGTGGCCCGCTCTAAAGAGCAGAGAGTCGTGCGTCTTTGATAATTATTCCATGCACATTTTCAACGGAAATTCCAGCGTAATCTCGATGCATGCAAACCAAACTCGAAAAGAATCGTTAGGTTAGACGGATCTCACGTGAGACCCACGTAATTCAACGGTGCATGAGTAACGAGCATTGAGCTAACGTGCACACGCGCGCCGAGATCGTGTAATAATGGCTGCACAAATTGGCTTGAATGGCCTTTGAAGTTTCGTCCACACTTTAGATTATGGAAAATACGTTGGACATACGTGACCCCACTGACCACTTACAGACTTCTATTTTTACTAAAAAAAAAGGCGGTTCACACAACTCCAGACAAAACCCCACACCAAAAGACCAAATCGCCCTCCTTGTACACTCGTTTTACCATCTTGCTAAGGTTTGCAGCTTTTTTTTTTGGTCGAAAGGTTTGTCAATTTGATTTTTACTTGATTTGAGCGTTTTTTTTGGGTGCGAGAATTTACGACTTGAGATGGTAATTTTCGAAAAGAAAAAAAATACTATTTTCGTAAATAAGGACACGAGCACAATCTTTGCAATGTATACGATAATTTCCAAAAATAGATCCGTGTAAGTGGTCATAGGATGAAAAGTGACGAAGCTTTTTCATGTTTTCGTTAGAATTCATCGGCCATTTTTCCTTTTTCGGTTTTGCACGATGAACTTTTTCTCCGACAAAAACAAAACAGAAGAGAGCCCCGCCACTACCGTCCATAACCGCCGTACGTTACACGGTGGCAAGCACTCCTCGACGCCGTCGTATTGGGTTGGTGATAACACCGATGACAGCACAACATCTTATTCTTCATTTTTTTTATTTCTTATTTTTCGCAAATTAATTAATTCGCTGTATCAATTTCGCGCATTCCCAGAGGATCCCGTGCAGAGAAATGATCCCAGACGACTGACAGCGACT